TTTTTTTTTTAAGTTAAGTTTCTTTTTATTTCCAGTTAACATACAGTATCAAATTAGTTTCAGGTATACAATATAGTAACAACACTTCCATATATCAACACCCTGTTCTCATCACAAGTGCTCTCTTTAATCCCCATCACCTATTTAACTCATCCTACTCACCTCTTCCCTCTGGTAGCCATCAATTTGTTCTCTATAGTTAAGAGTCTGTTTCTTGATTTGTTTCTCTCTCTTTGTCTTATTTTTTCCCCTTTACTTTTTTGTTTTGTTTCTTAAATTCCACATATGAGTGAAATCATATGATATATGTCTTTCTCCTACTGACTTATTTCACTTAGCATTATACTCCCTAGCTCCATCCCTGTTGTTGCAAATGGCAAGATTTCATTCTTTTTTTATGGCTGAGTAATATTCTATTGTGTATATCCCACATCTTATTTTTCCCCCAATATATGAAATTTATTGTCAAATTGGTTTCCATACAACACCCAGTGCTCATCCCAAAAGATGCCCTCTTCAATACCCATCACCCACCCTCCTCTCCTCCCCACCCCCCATCAACCCTCAGTTTGTTCACAGTTTTTTTTTTTTTTAATTTTTTTTTTCAACGATAATTTGTATTTTGGTGAAGAGAGAGACAAAACGGCATGAACGGGGAGGGGCAGAGAAGAGAACGTGGAACACAAAGGCTCCGTCGGCCATCGAGCCCCAGAGTGGCCGCATTGAGCTTCGAACTTTCACGGGACAGCGATCATGACCTGGCTGAATGGGATCACTTAACCGACTGTCATACACCCAGAAGCCCCATTCACGCTCAGTTTTAGAGTCTCTTATGCTTTGGGCCTCTCCCACTCTAACCTCTTTTTTTTTTTTTTTTTTTTTTCTTCCCTCCCTATGGGTTTCTGTTAAGTTTCTCAGGATCCACATGAGAGTGAAAACATATGGTATCTGTAATCTTTCTCTGTATGCCGCATTTACCTTAGCTATAACATCCTCCAGTTCCTGATACTGCGTTGCTCCACAAAGGAGCATTTCATTTTTCTCCTTGCCATGTCTCCATTGTGCCCATATAAACCACAATTTCTTTATCCATTCATCAGTTGATGGACATTTAGGCTCTTTCCATAATTTATATCCCACATCTTCTTTATCTATTCATCAATCGATGGACACTGAGGCTACTTCCATATCTTAGCTATTATAAATAATGCTTCTGTAAAAGAAACACTCATGCACTGTTGGTGGGAGAGCAAACTGGTGCAGCCACTGTGGAAAACAGTATGGAGGTTCCTCAAAAAGTTAAAAATAGAACTACCTTATGATCCAGCAATCACACTACTGGGTATTTACTCAAAGAATACGAGAATACTAATTCAAAGGGATACATGCACCCCTAAGTTTATACCAAATTTTAATTTCTAACAAGCTCTCAGGTGATGCCCTCAGAGGTTCTAACAAGCTCTCAGGAGTTGTAGTCAAGGGGCAACATTTTGAGAATCCCTGATCTCATTGGATTTTTCCTTCTAAATAAATATGTCTACTGAGAAGACTTTTATTCTTTTTCTTGGTCAATTTTTTTACCTACCTCAAAAGGAAGCAGGAGCAATGGCTACAGAGAACTTATTACATGAAATACTTACACTCTGTACATACACAAGATCCTCTTCATGACTCAGTGAGAAAGCTACTGTGGTACGTATTTTATAAATTAAGAAACTGGGAAGTTCAGTGACTCAGCCAAGTTTACTCAGCCAGTAAATATGGGAACTGGGATTTGAACTCAGATAGGTTCCAAAATGTGAGGGTTTTTTTTTTTTTGTCTCCACCTTCTGGAAATGTTTAGAATCTGATGTCTTCTCACCACCTGCACTCTGTTATAAGCCATCATCATCTCACAACTGCCTTATTTCATTAGCTTTCTGACTGACACCCTTATTTTCACTCTTGCCTTTTTTCTTAATATACGAAATTTATTGTCAAATTGGTTTCCATACAACACCCAGTGCTCATCCCAAAAGATGCCCTCTTCAATGCCCATCACCTACCCTACCCTCCCTCCCACCCCCCCCATCAACCCTCAGTTTGTTCTCAGTTTTTAAGAGTCTCTTATGCTTTTCACTCTTGCCTTTTAAAATGGAAGGTAGGGGTGCCTAGCTCTCTCAGTTGGAAGAGGATGCAACTCTTGATCTCTGGGTCATGAGTTCCAGCCCCACATTTGGTGCAGAGATTACTGAAAAATAAATAAACTTTTTAAAAAAGAAATATAGGTAAATTAAGCCAGTCTCTGCTCAAAACCCTCCAAGGGCTTCCCATCTTACTTAAAGTAAAAACCAAAGCCCTTAACATGACCCCAGGGCTTGACCTGGTCTGTCTGATGACCCCTCTCTTCACCTCTCTCTCTGTACTACTCACTCATTCTGCCTCAGTCACATTAGCTACCTTGCCATTACTAGAAACCCCCAAGTATGTTCTCACCTCAGGGCCTTACCACTTTTCTAGGACAGTGCTCCTCACATATTTCCACATGGTTTACTCCCTCTTCTCCTTCTTGACTCAAATGTCACTTTCCCCATGAGGCAGATACTGAGACGGATCCTGGTACACAGATTATTTATTAGGGATTAATAGTTGTGAAGGGAGGGAAGCGTAACAGGATTAGGCAGAAGTCAGCTGCAATACAGGCCTGGTAAAGCCTCATCGATTCTGTATATAAGTGAAATCATAAGTATTTGTCTTTCTCTGGCTTATTTCACTCATCATAGTACCTTCTGGGTCCATCCATGTTGTCGCAAATGGCAATCTCCTTTTGTACGGTGGAGTAACATTCCACTGTATACATATACCATATCTTTTTTGTCCATTCTTCTATCGATGACACTTAAATTGTTTTCATATCTTGGCTATTGTAAATAATGCTTCAATGAACATAGGGGTACATGTATCAAATTGGTGTTTTCATTTTCTCTAGATCCAGAAGTAGAATTGCATGTAACTGTCCTGTTTTTCCAACACTGTTTATTGAAGAAACTGTCTTTTCCTCATTGTATGTTCTTGCCTCCTTTGTCATAGGTTAGTTGACCATACATGCATAGGTTTATTTCTGGGGTCTCTATTCTATTCCATGGATCTATGTGTCTATGTTTATGCCAGTACCATGCTGTTTTGCTAACTCTAGTCTTGCAGTATAGCTTGAAATCAGGAAGCGTGATGTCTTCAGCTTGATTCTACTTTCTCAAGGTTGCTTGTGTTATTTGAAGTCTTTTATGGTCCCATACAAATTTTGGGATTCTTTTTTCCATTTCTGTGAAAAATGCCATTGATATTTTGATGAGGCAAAATGTGAGTTCTTAACCATTACACTATTCTGCATCCCAAGGGAACACATAAGAACTTAACTGTACTCATTGATCCATCAGAAATAATGACAATTAGAAGGTTTCGGCTGCCAATGAAACTAAATATTTAGAAAACCTCTCTTATACTGCTTTAAATTTCCTCTTTTGATCTCTAAGTCAATTGAATATGGTTTATGATCCATTAGCATGGATTCAAGCCTAATGTATCTCTTACATAGTACATTCTAAATTTGCCTAGATGATATTAGTGAGGAAGTGAAATGTCTACTACATTCTTCATTTCAAAAATTATGCCAATGAAATATGCCAATAAAACATTCCATTTTAAGCAAGCTATATTAGTCTCCTTTAATTGTAAGAAACAGAAGCCAACCTGAGTTAATGTAGATGAAAATGAAATGTATGGAGTCCAAGAGCAAGAATATTGTCTCACTTCTGGAAGTCAGGGACTTGGAAAAATCAAGACTCTTCTTTCTGCTTTCTGTTTCATCTGTCTCTATATACTGACTTATCCTGCATCCTCCATTTACCTGGAGGAATCTGGCCACCCAAAACTCTTAAGTTTACATTCACAAGTCCAGCCCCTCTCAGAGGACAACCAACCATTTCCCAGTCCTAATTCCCAATTTCTAGTGGAAAGAATCTGAATGGCTTTGTTTATATCAGGGATCATCCCCTGCTCCAATCATTTATGGCTATGGAAGTAGGGCGATTTGATCCAAGTTGGACTCCCAGTACAAATTTGGCTACCACTGTGCTGGGACAGACAAGGAAATCATTTACTTATGAGTTGGGCTAACACTTCAAGAAAGGTTCCCTCAGAAACTCTTCCAGCACTAGATCCATTTGTCCCTTAACATAAGATCTTTATAGTCAAGTATAGATCAAGAATGTTATGTTCCTGACCCATAAAATGAGGGAAAATCCAGAAGACAATACACACTGGTGGTGAGGCTGAGGAGGAATGGCCACTCATTCATTAGTATTGGAAGAACAAAAAAGCCCAAGCCTGATGTAAAATCCTACCCAAAAAAAAGATGCATTTACCGTCTAAGCTAACAATCCCACTTCCGGGAATCTGTTCAATAGGAACCAAGAGAAATGGCCCATAAGCATAGATGTCTTCAGACTCTATACTTTCAAAAAAAAAAAATAGACAAAGGATACCTTATTATAATATCAGAAGATGCAGAAACTTTGCACAATCCCCATTCTTTATACTCCAATAATTAAATGTAGCCAGTCTCGGAAAACACATGGTTTTATATACCATTCATCAAAAGAAAACTGCATCCAATTTTTAGAACTATTAACTTACAGGCAATGTTTTATAACTGCTGCTATTTCATGCCGGGAGGTAAAAAGTGTGCTCTATATAATGCTGTTGTGGTCTAGAGGGGAGTTGCTCCAAAAATATTTTGTCTCACTGATGAATGGTTTTGGTGTATGGTTTTGTATTAATTACCTCTGTCTGCAGCACAGCTGAAGAATAGTACTGACATGAAAATGCTTTATTCACGTGACAAGCAAATGATATGGAAAAAATTGTAGCCAATAATTTCATACGCATCAACTGAATCCCAGGGAAAATCCAAGTAAAGAGCCCTGTTTTAAATCAATCGTTTATCTTCTTTTTGTCTGCAGTACATCTCCTCATACATTGCAGACTTTAAAAGTGAAATGTTTGAGAAACTCCTTAAGCACCTCTGTCATTGTGCAGATGAATTCCGGGAGATCATAAAAACGGATATGCGGAGGCAGATGTTTGCTGAACTCTTCCTGTGTTGTGACCGTGGGAAGGTAGGATAAGACCTTAAAGCAATACTTCTCAAACTATTTTTTTGTGAAGGACTGGATTTTAGGTTGTTGTGGATGGTGATGTTTTTAATTGCTAAACCGTTGTGGACTAACACTCAATGAAAACGGATTGCTGGGGGGGAAAAATGCACGTACAAAAGACAATCCACATTTTTTATTATTAGATTCAAATATGATTTATCTGTTACTTTCTCAAATTGCTATATAATTTTTTAGATACTATCCTCAATTTCTATACCTTTCTTGTCACAGACTGGTACCAGCCTATAGACCATGTCTTCAATGGCACTGCCATTTTACAATGTACAGCTTGTCTCTTTCCATTCTTAAGAATGTATTTTTTTAAGATTGTTTTTGCTTACTCTCTTTGCTGCTGGCTTCCTATAGAAAATAAATTGTTGGGAATAGGAAGCTTACCACATTGTATTATGCTGCTTCTTAAAATAAGAAAAGTTTATATCAAAAAGTATTTCGGGAGACCGGCAGAAGATGGCGGCCTAGGAGGACGCTGGGCTCACCGCACGTCATGCTGATCACTTAGATTCCACCTACACCTGCCTAAATAACCCAGAAAACCGCCAGAAGACT